CCCTCCTAAGCCTGATTACCACCCTATGAGTAATTCTCTTGGTTTGGGGGTGGCATTCCATGGTGTTGCCTCAAGTTAAGCCATCATCAGTCATTAACCCGTGGGAGTGAATTTATCCAAAGGATCCAGCTCACCCTGTGTCTCCCCAGCCCCACCCTTTCAGATTCTAGATCTCGTGATTCTCTGAGCCCTGTGGTGTGGCTCCTGTATAGCAAAGTGCCTATTTCACCATTTCTATCATATGAGGTGGGGAGAAGGTCAGGAATGAGGAAAGAAACCAAAGCCTTCTGCATTCCCACTTTGAAACAGGTTCATGACTTGCCTCAGTCTCACTCCTATTCCTGAGACTCTGCAAGAGCTTGGGAAGAGGAGTCATCCTATTGCTGTGAAACAGATATTAAGTTTCAGAAACCAGCCTTCTTTGGAAAACTCCATGCCTCGCCCTGCTGTCTCCGGATGTCATGGATACAGAGAGGAGTCATTATTTGCCTTGGGGAGAGAGAGAGAAATTGAATCTAGAGACATCACATGGATCATCTTAGCAGCATCTACTATATTAAAAAAGAAAGAAAAAACACCCCACCAAAGAGTCAGCAGCCAAATTAATTGTTTTTCTGATTAACAAAACACAATTAAGCCCCAAATGCCGCCGCTTGAGGGAAGGTTATTTGCAGTTTTTTTCCAGGGACCGTTCTGGCTACGGAGCAATGACAACTTCATTCTGATCCCTGCAAGAGGGGCCGAGAGAGAAATAATGCCACAAACTCATTATGACCATGCTGTCTAATTCCTCTCCAGGGAAGCCAGACCCCACAGCAGCCAGAGTGCGGGACACAAAGGCAGACAGGACCGCAGCTTCAAGGGACTGTGTGCAAATGAGGGTGGTGAGGGGAGTGGGCAAGGGTGGCAGAGAACATGGGGATGACTGTTGGCTTTTGCAGGGCAGGGATCCCAAAAGTCCAGTGGCCTAGAACTGCTCCTTATGGAAACAAGCTAGCCTCTCTGCACAGTTGTAGAATTGGGAAGGAAAGAAGAGGGATGGGAGCAGGCAGAGGGAAAAGAAGGAAGTTTATGATTAAGGTGACTTTATAAAACTACATACTGGAGACACTGAAGCATAATTCCCTATTTGTTGGTTGGTTTTTGAGATGGGGGTCTCACTCTCATCACCCAGGCTGAAATGAAGTGGTGTAATCACAACTCACTGCAGCCTCAATCAACCAGACTCAGGTGATCCTTCCACCTCAGCCTCTCCAGTAGTTAAGATTACAGGCATATACCACCATACCTGGCTAAGTGTTTGTATTCTTAGTAGAGATGGGGTTTCAACATGTTGACCAGATTGGTCTTGAACTCCTGGACTCAGTGATATCCGCCCACCTCAGTCTCCCAAAGTGCTGGGTTTACAGGCATGAGCCACCATGCCCAGCCCATAATTCCCAGATTTTTGTTTTTGTTTTTTTTTTTTGGCGGGGGGGTTGCTGTTTTTTTTTTTTAAACAGTCTTGCGGTGTCACCAGCCTGGAGTGCAGTGGCACAATCTTGGCTCATTGCAGCCTCCACTTCCCAGGTTCGAGCAATGCTCATGCCTCAGCCTCCCCAATAGTTGGGACTAGAGGCATGCACCATAACAACTGGCTAATTTTTGTATTTTTTTAGTAGAAACAGAGTTTCATTGTGTTGGCCAGGCTGGTCTCGAACTCTGGGCCTCAAGTGATCTACCCACCTTGGCCTCCCAAAGTTCTGGGATTACAGATATAAGTCACCACACCAGGCCTAATTCCCAGTTTTGAAGGTACAGTAATGAGATTAAGAATGCCCCCATGGTCACAAGCCTACTGTATTCCAGGCCCTCTGCTGAATGCTTGCCATCCACAGCCTCATTTCACCTTCCCAACAATCCTGCCCATTTTACATGTAACCAGACTCATGAAAGTTCAGTAACTTGTCCTAGATCACAGCCAATAAGTAGATTTGCACCCACATCTCTCCAACTCATATTGTCTAACACAAAGTCTTAGAGGCAATTTCCTCCGAAGTACTCACCTAGGCCAGCACTAACAGTCACCGAGGCAAGACTGAAGGCAGTGTGGCCTGCCACTCCCTTCTGCATCACCAGCCCCTCTCTGCCAGTCAAGGGCTTCCAAGGAGACACATTAAAGCAACAGTGGAACCCTAACCTTAGGATAAAATGTCCTGAAGAGTCACCTCGCTGTCCACTCTCGTGTCTCTAACGCTGAAGGCATCTGTCTACCCATAGCATGGAGCTGTGGGGTACAAGGCAGGAGGGATGGGGGAGGGATGAGAGTGGTAGACGGAGCTCAGGTCTTCAATCAGAGACAACCAGGCAGTGCCCCAGCCCCATGAGCTTGGACAAGTCCTGACCTTTCTACCACCATTCCTCATTGGTAAACCTCTCTAGGTCATTATGAAGATTAGGGATAAGTTATATAAAGCACTTGGCACCTACAGCCTCTCAATAAGAGAGGGTTAGGATGAAGACTGGATGAAGATGCAGACAAAAGTGCAAGACATGTCCGGAAAATGTGCCTTCATCCAGAAGGAGTGGGTGGAGGCAAAGCTCAAGCTATACAAACAATAGGAACCTGCTTCCTTCTGGTGTCTTCCCTCTCCCCGCCACCTCCTGCACAGACAGCTGCCATTCAAGGGAAATCCAAGAAAGGCCAAAGGGTCTTACCAAGGGGTCTTGTTATATCTCACGCTCCCATAGACTCTATGGCCTGGGAATCATTTTGTGTAGTGTCACTGACATGGTCTGGCTGTGTCAAGATGAGACCCAAATCTCATCTTGAATTGTAGCCCCCATAATTCCCAAGTGTTGTGGGAGGGACTCAGTCCGAGTTAATTGAATTATGGGAGTGGTTTTTCCCATACTGTTCTCATGGTAGTGAATAAGTCTCATGAGATCTGATGGTTTTATAAGAAGTTTCTTCTTTTGGTGGCTCTGATTCTCTCTTGCCTGCCACCATGTAGGACATGGCTTTTGCCTTCCACCATGATTGTGAGGCCTCCCCAGCTATGTGGAACTGTGAATCTATTAAACCTCACAGTCTATTAAGCTGTGAGTCTATTAAACCTGAGACAAACCCCAGTCTCAGGTATGTCTTTATCAGCAGCATGAAAACAAACTAATAATAGACCAATCTATTTCTTTGCCACATATGGAGGAGTCTAAGCATTGTTTAGTTGAGATCCCAGGAAACACCATGCTGGATGAACATCTTGACATTTTCTTCCTTGGTGCCTTAGTCTCCCCTCATGAAAAGTGAAGATCATGGGTGAAGGTCATGGCCAGGCACGGTGGCTCATGCCTATAATCCCAGCACTTTGGGAAGCTGAGGCGGGTGGATCACCTGAGGTCAGGAGGTCAAGACCAGCCTGGCTAACATAGTGAAACCCCGTTTCTACTGAAAATACAAAAGTAAGACAGGCGTGGTGGTGTGTGCCTGTAATTCTAGCTACTCAGGAGGCTGAGACAGGAGAATTGCTTGAACCCAGGAGGTGGAGGTTGCAGTAAGCCGAGATTGCACCATTGCACTACAGGGTGGGCAACAAGAGTGAAACTCCATCTCACAAAAAAAAAAGAGAGAGAAAGAAAGAAAAGTGAAGATAATTATCTCCACCCATTTCTCCCCATTCGTTGACATTGTGAATATACAGGAGAAGGCTCTGGAAATGTTGCAAGAACCACGAGAAAGCTGGTAGTCTCATAGGAAGTCTTGGAGAAAGATTCCCCTCCTTGGAGGAGGAGGAGGAGGAGAATATCTCTGTTTCTAGGGCTCAGGCAGGGAGATCCCAGCCTTGAGCTCCCTCTGTATCATTGCATCAGTACACTACATAGCACTAATTTTTTCCCAAATCCCAACCAGTCTGTCTACTGAATAAACTAGGTGAGTGAGTACAAACATGCTCTAGAAACAGGCTGCCGGCTGGCATATCATCACCACTGTCAATCCCACCCAGGATCCCGAGCAGAGGGGAAGGAGCACCGCAGTGGGATGTGCAGGCATTTCCTGCCACATGGGAACGCAGGCCACTGAGGCCTCCTATCATCAGCCATGCTTTGCCTTTATTACTGTCTGGTGCCTTGCGTCTTAGAGGGGTGCTTTCTGCAAGTAGGAGGCCAACATGAGCTATGTCTAGAAGCCGCGAACTCAGGGAATCCAGGTCAAGGAAGGACTCAACAAAGGGAGGTGAATGGCCCCAAACCATGCATCAGCCTTGCAGAGGTAAAATGACATGAGACAAGGGGACCACCTGTCCATGGGTACCCTGGGAGTCGCAAGGTGGGAAGGCTGGGCCTGACCTCCATTAGTATCTTAGGGGCCTGGGCAACAGGGATTTTTCTGCCAGGCCCTTCTTTCTCCACAGCCAGGCTAAGGGCTACTCAGCTGAGACTGGATTCTTCATGAGTCAAGGCTGCCTTGTTTGGATTCTTTACTGTGCTCACTCCCTTCTCCCTAGGGCTCGGTGTTGACCAGACATCATGTTCCACCCCCTCACTCTGCCCTCTCTGCTTGCCCTGCTTGACTGTAAAGGGAGACCCTCCTCCCAGTGACCTGTAACCTACTCCAAGGAAGCATGCTCACAATTTGTGCTCTGAGATGAGGGGCCACAGTTACTCCTCAGGAGAGGAGACACAGGTTACACTCCAGAAATAATAGGTCTTCATGTCCGTGGAGGTCTAAGTACTTTACAGAGTACATTTCACATCCACTCTCTCATTTAATTTGTGCATTCAATTAGCAGATATTTATTGAGGGCATATGACATGCTGAGTGCTGCCCTAGGCAATGAGTGTGCAGGGGAGAGCATGATGGATGAAGACTCCATTCTCATAGGGCTTAGGCTGGGAGACAGGCAACAAACAAGAAAAGGAACAAGATACTTTTAGATCATAATAAGAGAGCCCAAGAAGCCAGTTATGGTAAAGGCAAAGCATGGGCTTTTGTGAATCTATTGTGGGGAGGCAAGTCATACCTCTGTAGATAGGGTGGTCAAGACCTCTCCAAGCAGGACACCTTCATGAGCAGAGCCCTAAATGATGAAAGGAGCCAACTCTGATGCTCTGGGAAACTATGCAGATGGGAAACAGCAAGGTCAAGATTCTGGGGCAGAAACGAACTTGGAATGTTTGCAGAACAATGACAGGCTGCTGTGGGTGAGAATGCAGGGAGAGAGGGGAGGGGCCAGAGGGGCTCAGAGCCTGTGGGTTTGGGAAGCAGGAAGAGCAGACCTGACCCCCTATGGCTGTGTCTATTTTGCAGGTGAGAAATGTGAAAGAGGTCGAGTCATTTGTCGTATGAATTTGACGTTGGAGCTTCCACTTGCACACAGTTCTCCAGACTCTGGGTCTTGTGTTCTCTCCTGAACTAGCAGCCTCCATGGAGCATGGTTGTCAGGAAGGAGCTCATCTATCTCCACCCTTTTGAGGCAGAAGCCACTCCCTCCAGGTTCACACTACTGGGTACTATCTGTCCCTCTGGCCTCTGAGGATTTGCATTCATTGATTCACTCAACCAATATTTGTTGAAGACCCACTACATGTCAGGGCTCTTTCTAGGAGCTGGAGATACAGCAGTGAATAAAATATACAAAATCCCTCTCCCAGCAATGGAGCTAATATTTAAGTAAGGGGAAATAGGAACCAAGTAAATAAATATTTGTAAAATATTTTAAATGGTGAAAAGTGCTATGGAGAAAAACAGGAAGGAAAGGAAGATCAAAAACACAGGGTGTCGGGATTCAACTAAATACGAGAAGACCTCATGGAGGCGACGTCTGCACAAAGAGCTAAAGAAAGAGAGAACGGAGCCTCACAGCTACCTAGGGGAAGAGCATTCCCAGAAGAGGAAACAACAAATGCAATGTCCTGAGTAGGGAGACTGTTGAGGAGTTTGAGGAGCTCTGATGGTGTAAGATAGACAGACAGACAGATAGATAATAGATGGTTGGATAGGCAGACAGATGGATGGGCAGACTGACAGATAGATAGATGATAGATAGAATAGACAGATAGATAGATAGTTTTAATTCATGGTTCCTGGCTCAACTCTCATAGCCCTTGTTACAATATTGGGCACTTTAAGCCTCAGAAGCAGGTCTTAGAAAATGGAATCTCACACACACACACACACACACACACACACAACCACCTTCTCCTGTTCCCTTTCACCTGCTCCTTCTTCTCCCCATGGCTGGATTCTTCCTCTACCTTTCTGTCTTGGAGCTGGCAATAAGAAATTCTCTGACCTACCTTGTCTGATTGCAGGTCATAAGACCTTCATTTCAGAAGGGGTCCTGCCCCGTATCCTGAGGCTAAGAGGAATCTGGACAGGCCTCACTGGGTTTCCCCACCCAATCTATTTGTATTAGATCATACCCTTTTTGTCCACTCACATTTTAATATGTGTGTGAATCATGCCTATACAATGAAGTCTATATAAAAGGCCTAAGAGGACAGGGTTGGGGAAGTTTTCCAATAGCTGAACACATGGAATTTCTTGGAGGCTGGCACTCCCAGAGAGAGCATGAAGTTCTATGCACCTTCCCCTACACCTCGCCCTGTGTATCTCTTCATCTGCATCCTTTCCAGTATCCTTTATAACAAACCAGTAAACCTAAGTGTTTCCCTGAGTTCTGTGAGCTGCCCTAGCAAACTAACCAAACCCAAGGAGGAGGATCCCTGATTTGTAGCTGGTTGGTCAAAAGCACAGGTAAAACAATCGGGGGGCTTGCAATTCACACTGAAAGCTGTCAGGGGAGCAGTCTTGGGGACTGAGCTCTCACCCCATAGGATCTGATGCTATCTCCAGGTAGACAGCAGCAGAATGGAATTGGATTGGAGGACACCCAGCTGGTGCACTGCAGGACTGATTGCTTGCTTACTGATGGGAAGAAATCCCCACACACTTGGTCACAGGAGCCTTCTGTTGATTGTTGTTGGGTAAAAGAAAGGGAAAAAATCCCTTGAAGGGTGTTTCTTCCACTCAAAGAAACACGGCAAGGAGGCAGTGTAGCTGGGGAGGAATGAGCAAGCAAAGAAGTGCTGGGGACCTGGAGCGTGCCACAACACATCCCCGCCAGCCCAAGCTCCAGTCCCATGGCGGAAGGACCCTGCTGACATCACTGACCCCGTATGCTCCTCACTGACCCAGGGCTCACTATCCAAAGACCTCTGCTGCACAGAGAACCTCTGAGAGCCAGATTTGACCCAGGCACAGTTCCCAGGGAAGAAAACATGGAGGTTTTGACATAAAGCGAAGGAACTCCAGACTCTCAGCTAGAGCTGCGTTGCAAGAGTGAAAAAGCCTCACAGGCCCCTCAGCTCCATCTTAGCTCTCCAGATATTTTATGTGTTAAATAACAGCCAGAACTGAACGAAAGCTAGTTACATAAATTTGGAGAAAACAGCAACAAAAGCACTTCTCATAACACAAGACATCAGCTCTTTTATCGTTTCATTGCTCTTGGCATGAAAGTGAGTTACTGAGAGCAGGTACTTCAGGAGGATACATAATTTGGGTATTTTTCACCTTACCATCAGGAGCACTGACTCAAAAGATCATTTCCTGTTAACAAAAAAAGACCCATTTCCAATCTCCTTTTTTCCCAGTTGCCTTTATTTAAAACTAATTCAACACTCATCAGCTGACAGGGTGACGCTCACCTTTACCCACAGCTGTTGAAAACAGAATGCTGCTAGATTCTAGACCCTTGAAGATACCACCTAGAAAGTTATGCAAGGCTTTGTGCAGTGCGGAAGAAGGTCAAAGTCCATTGTAATGAAGTCCAAGGAGAGGTAGCCATATGTGGTGAGGACACAGTGGAGCAGCACAGCCTTGTGGCCAAAACCTATGGTCTGGAGTCAGGCATTTTGAGTTCAAATCCCAGTTCTACTACTTACAGTTTGGGTTTCAGGCAAGCAAAAGAATCTTAGGCCAAGTGACTTCATCCTAGTTCTTCAGAGATTTTATGCATCAAAGTACAGCCAGATTGCAATGAAAGTTGTCAACCTAGGACAAGCATCTTAACCCAAGCCTTAGTTTTCTCATCCACAAAATGGGTATAGCAATGTTATCTACCTCAAAGAAGTGTTGAGACTTTAAACAAAAGAATCATTGGGAAAAAAATTTGCATGGAAACCTGCTCTATAAAAGTAAGTTACCACCATTAGATTTTTATTAAAATACTGGGAATGAGTGGGCTAATCAGTTACAATTGGGCATGTTTGTTGTTATAATGAAATCCAGGGACATGGTCAGTGAACCAAGTGTCATCACAAATGTTATAAAATTGGCTTCTGCACCTGGCCTCCTACAGCATCACTTACCAAGAACTGCCTCAGTCATTATCTTGCCCTGAGCCGCCTCCCAACCCCTCCTCTGTGAAACGGGTTAGACTCCATGCCCTGTGAGGTCCTTTCCAGCTTTGATGCATGTCTCTAAATGGAGCTGGAACCACAAGGGGGAAAGGTTGATTCCAGGAGAGCCTATACTGTCTGCCCTTTCCTGGAAGAGAGGACAACACCTCTTGGAATTGATCACCTTACCCTTGGCTGGCCAATGTTCCTCAGATTCACATTCTTCCCTTCTGTGTGAGGCTGCTCCAGTCTTCCTTGATGGGAAGCGAGGAGCTAGGATTATGAGATGAGGACCTCGTACATGTACACACACATATACATTCATGGGCACATGTGCGCATGCACACACGCGCGCACGCACACACACACACACACACACACACACACACACACACACCTCTTGTGCCCGATTCCTCAGTTGCATAGAACAGGATGATTTAAGTCCTCTATGGTGGCAGCATCTGCACCAGCCGCTGCATCCAGTGGAAGATGCTGTTAAATCTCCCACAAATTGTCTAGAGATAGAGAACATCTGGATTCCTGGCAGGAAGATGAGAGAGAAAACAGTTAAAGCAGTGCCACTCGACACCCTACCCCTTGCTTGAAGTGATTCTCTTGCTCAGTGTTCTCCAATCCAGACATTTTGGCCCAATAGGCTGGTACATGTGCCCAGCTGCAATGAGGCCTGAGAGTGTGAGGCCAGGGCCCTTGCATAGCAGAAGAAAATCTGGGATGAACTGCTCACTCAGCAAGGTAGAGTCCAGAGGCTGTTCTTGCTGGCTGAGTCCTGGACTCCATCTCACTGTCATTTCTACCAACCTCCCATTGCCTTAGTTTCCCTGACTGGGTTTCATACCTGCTGCTCAGGCAATAGGATGTGAAGTGTGAAGACAGTGCAGAGAACCAATCCCAAGCCTCTAGATGAGGAGGTCAGAAACTGCCACTTGAATGCCTTGGTACCCAGGCTAATCTACCACATTTGGCTCCAGGCTTCAAATACAAACAGCTCCCCAGAGTGCTCTGCCCATCACTCCTCCAGGAGTGCAGTGGATGGAACCTCAGACCTTTTCTCAAAAGTATGCCTGGCAGCTCCTTCCATAATTACCCTCCCAGTACAGCTCCTTCAGAATCCCCTGCTTGGAAGAAACCCTCTTCCACTCCCCATTTCCCAGGCATGCGGCATGCCAGGGACCAGAGGGGGCTCTACCATATAAGGTAATGAATCTCCTAGCTCTGCTTCCTTGTTTAATAAACAAACATTTCTTCCTTGTTTCTTTATGTCTTCCACAGCCTCTGGGAGCCCAGGGCCCTCAGAAGCTTCCACCCAGCAAGCAGGGAGAGTCTGGGAGCCCAGGAGGCTGCCTCCAGGGCCACCACGTCATCTGGGGGAAAATCAATCCAATTCCTCTCTGCTTCAATTTCCACGTCTGTAAAATATGGACAACAATCTCCCTCTCGCCTGGTCCCAAGGGATGTTTTGGGGAGCAAAATGAAGGCATTTTGGGTGGAAAGTATGTAAATGTAAGTTGTTTGTAAAGCTTGGGGTTTCTTCATTGTACTCAATTTAAGAACTCTTTTATTTTGTACTAATTCCTATGAGATTATTTTGGATGAGAACAAGGCGTCTTTCTGGGGCTCACTATCCTATTGGAGGAGGTTAAAGAAATAGAGGAAAACAGTAGTAAGACTAGGGAAAAGAACAAAAAACACAAGCTGAAAAAAAAGAAAAAAGCCCCTCTGGAATCCAGAGCCCCTGAGACTTCCTAACATCCCTGACGAAGTTCTTTCTCTCTCTGTTACCTTTGTCATGGAGAGATGACAGCTTGCAGGAATAAACTCCATGCCCAAATGGCCCCTGTAGTATTTGACCTTTCTCCTTATCACTCTGCCTATAGTTCCAGAACTTGAATTAAAAGCCAAGAAAATAAGAATGTATAAAATAGAGTCATATCTATCTCACCAGCTCATGAGCATCAGCTGAGACAGCACAGGCCAGGTACTCAATGAAATCCTACAGGCTTCTGGATTGTGAGTGATATGTCTCTCAAGTTAAAAGGTACTTTCAGAGAAGAAATGACGGCCGGGCACAGTGGCTCACACCTGCAATCCCAGCATTTTGGGAGGCCGAGGCGGCTGTATCACCTGAGGTCAGGAGTTCAAGACCAGCCTGGCCAACATGGTGAAACCCTGTCTCTACTAAAAATACAAAATTGAGCCAGGTGTGGTGGCACAAGCCTGTAATCCCAGCTACTTGGGAGACTAAGGCAGGAGAATCACTTGAACCCATGAAGCAGAGGTTGCAGTGAGCCAAGACTGCTCCACTGCACTCCAGCCGGGCCAACAGAGTGAATCTTTGTCTCAAAAAAAAAGAAAGAAATGATG